TGTCATGCTGGAATTCTAGGAGTGTTCATGTTTTCCTAGTGAGAACTGATGCAGGCGGGAAAGAAACTAAGCTCTTGCAGAGGGCAAGGTCCTCTTTTTAAAGAATTTGCTTTAAAAAAAAAAATCAAGATGTTCTCATCAAAATGAGTCTACAGATTTGTGTGTCAGGATAAAGACACTGGTTATTCATAATATTTTGAGAGTGAAAAGCATTGTGATATGAAAATATAGTATATGTCCTACATAAAAAGCATCTTTCCTCCTAAAAAATAAATAGCAAGTACCAGCTTACTTTACAATAGGAGATTTGAAGACTTAAAGATCAAACAGCAGGCTCATTGTCATGATATGGCCCCAAAGTGGAGAATCACATTCCCTGCCTCTACTTTAATTCTACTTCCTTTCAAATTCATACAAAAAGGGAAGGAAACATCATCTTCTGTGTAGTGAGCTGCTTTTCACCGTGCTGACTTAGAGATTCACCTATCCAAACACAGCAAACTCTACATGAAAATTAACTTACTACCAGTGTTCTCAACTGAACTTGGACATTCTCTCTACATGCAGTGACAAGGTCTAGCAGTGATCCTGTACATTCTAAGTCTTCCCTTTGGGCAGACAGGATTCTGCCACTGTGTCAAATGGCCCCGCATGTGTTGCACTGGTGGTAAGAATGGTACCTAAGCAAGGCATATTTCTAGTCGGCCACGAGAAACAGTAGCCAGGTGTGGAATTTTGAAAGCAGCTTGTTTTCAATGCTATCTACCAATTCAGCCTTTTTGGAAAGGTCATTTTAAGTTCACTGGAAGACTACTGTTTCGACATATGGTCACAAGGAGGCCCATACACGCTCTTGTTTTCTGTAATAAACCCTGATTAAGAAGCTCTGAGGTAGAAATGAGATTTTGTGTTGAGAAACAGAACGACCATAAGAAGAGCAATGGATATGCAGTGTCTATACATTAGTACTCCTAAGCGTAACGCCAGGTGGTTTGTATTTGTCCTCTCTCAATTGTCCTTACGACTCTCTGAGCTGGTTATGATCAGTCCTCAGTTTACAGCTGGGGGCGCTGCCAGGAATCCTGAGCAGGGTTGCTGGCTGGAATGCCTGTGTCCTTTCCTCTCTTTTCCCCACTGTCTAGCAGGGAGCTCCAGCTACGTGGACATAGCACTACTGATTTTCGCTCTCCCCTCTCCTAAGAAAGACCGGACGTACGCTGTCAGCCCTTTGTCACAGCACAGCGAAAAGGTGAGTGGATTTGGCATCAGAAGACCCGGACTGGAGTTCTAGCTCTGTTGTGCTGATCGGCCCATAACTCATCTCACCAGAAAACAGAAATTAAAACATGCTCTCGCTGTTTTAAGTCATCCTTAAGGGCTGGCTGGTTAGCTCAGCTGGTTAGAGCACAGCTTTGTAACACTTAGGTCAAGGGTTCAGTTCCCCATACTGGCCAGCTGACAAAAAAAAAAGTCAACCTTACATAAATTAGAGGGCTTACTAAGAAAAGTGAGGGTAGCCAAGAGTAAAAGCTCTAAAGAAGAAATATTGGTTACTATGACAAAATCTCAATGGCTCCTTTTCTACAGCTGATTGAAGATGTTCACATGATTTACTTCCTTGAATGTAAGTTAAGGAAAACAGCTCAATGGAAACCAAACCAAACCATGCAGGTGAACATGCGAGACAGGCACGAGACCAGCTCACTTCATCTTCCTGTGCTCCAGGCTCCTTACCGCTGAAGTGTGTAAAATAACAGGCCCCATCCCTGAGGGATGTTGTGAGGCTGAACGTAAAGTACAGTAGATGTCAGCCATTACAGTCTATAAAAATGAACTTTGAGGCTAAGCAGATAATCCAGTATTATCAGAATAGTTTTTAAAATTGCAGTGTATTAACATATAATGCCACATTATGCAGTCATTCAAAATAATGGTAATGGGAGGGGGATAATGAGAAATTGGTAAAGGGCCACAAAAAGTGGTTATGTTGTGTAACGTTGAATATAATAATTATCCTGATTTGAGCATCACATATTGCACACAGGTATTGATATTCAACGCTGTACCCCACAGGTATGTAGAATCAATTATGTTGTTTCAATAAATTAAAAGAAGGAAAAAGATAAAATAAAATAGTTAATTTTTCAAAAAACAAACAAAAGCCACAAAATAATGGTAACTATTACATAGAAAAAAGGAAAAATGTTCATGAGGCATTAAAATGCCATAAATATGCATTTGTTTACTGATATCCTTCCTAGTATCTCAAAAGGTTTCACAATTTTCTCAAATGTCATTTTTCATTTAATTACAGAACGCTTCAAGAGCATGGTGTTTGAAGCTCCTCCCAACAGAACATCTGACTCAAAGATCTGTACATGTAATTTTCCTTAAAATAAAAGGAGCATCATGTATTGCAAGATATTATTTAATGTGTATCTGTACCACCTATAATTTACTCCATAGATTACTATAATTTCTGATAAAAAAAGGAACAGAACTCAAAATACAGATATAGCTGACTATAAAAAAGATGATTAACAGTGAATAAATAAAATAAAACAACTCAATTATAACACAGCAAAGTAATACAAGGATCCTCAACTAGTAAACAAAGTCTAATTGAGAACTAAGCTGACTCTAAGACTGCTGCTTCTAATTCTCTATTACTTCTTTTGTTCCACCAGCATTTATTGGGAGCCTGCTTTGTGCGACGCTGGGCCCTATTCTGGGTATTTGGAATACAAAGGTGGACAAGAGAATCCCTGCCCTCATGGAGCTTACATTCTAGTGAGGAGTGAAAGAAAAACAAATAGAGTGAATACATAAAATGCTAGATGCTGGCAAGTACAATGGAAAAACAGTGGGAGGGGAAGGTGGTGAGAATGGAGTGGGGAAGGGGGGTTAAGGGACTTTGTAATGTTAAATAATATGGACAGGAAAGACCTCAATGAGAAGGTGACATTCCTGAGAAGGAAGTCAGGAATTGAGCTTCTGCAGATGTCTGAGGAAAAGGCCTTCTACGGAGGAAAAAGCCAGTGCAAAGGTCCTCAGTCAGGAGCACATCGGGCATGGGGGAGGAGCAGCAAGGAGAGGAATTTGGAAAAGTAGCAGGAAGCCAGGTGATGTGGTTTCACATCTCATGATTCACTCCAGAAACAGACTTTACACATGTATTTCCTACTAAGGTAAATGTACAGAGTTTTTGTTTAGGGAGTTGGCTAAAATATGAAACTATACGGGTGGAGGAAGGTCAATCAGGAGACACAAAGCACTGACCAAAGTAACAAACAAAAAGATGATATAAACTTTTGCAAGGTCAAGGGAAGTTCAGAAACCAGGAGAGCAGTCCAGTATCGTGTTAAGATTTGTTTTACTTATTTTATCATTATATTAGATACTTGTACTTCATTCTGAACTTTAGTATTCTGTTTCACTGCTTCCTTTCCATCACATAAAAGATAATATCTTCTTTAATGAATGGTCTAGCAGAGGTTGTCATCTACTTTAGGGCTCCAGAGCAGGGTTTCTCAACCTTGGCACTGTGGACATTTTGGGTCAGGTAATTCTTTGTTTTAGAGGCTGCTCTGTGCATTGTAGGATGTTTAAGAGCATCCCTGGCCTCTACTCCCTAGATACCTGTAGCAACCCCCTAGCTACAATCCCCACAGACAACCAAAAATGTCTCCAGACACTGACAAATATTGCTGGAGTGGGTGATGAAATTGTCCCTGGTTGAGAATCACTGCTCTAAATGTGAATAGATCAAAATTCTTCATCTCAGTTTGCTGTTGTTGTTTTGTTTCAAACCAAGGGGTTGATATTAAGGACTTATCTCTTCATAACTTTTATACATTTCCAAAGCCATGTGCTACATATGTATAAAGAACTAAATTCAGAAGTTGCAAACACCCTCCTGTCCCAGGGCCTTTGCACTGGCTGCTCCTGGTTGAATGTTTGTCCCAGACAACTCCTACTCATCCCTCAAGTGTTGCTAAGGCCTTAACTGCTAAGCCGCCTTGGAAGCTCTTCCCTGATCCTGGAGCATAAGTATGTTAGGTATTCCTATGGAATTCTGTCATAGCACCTGTACTCTTACTTTGTAGCAACTATAATAATTGCAACTGAATAATTATTTTTGTCAGCATTATTTAATGTCTCCTCCATTGTAGCAGGAACCGTATCTATCTTGTTGGCTTATGTATCTCCAGGGCACTAAGAGAACTATTGTGGACCCAAATTTATATAAACAAGTACATCACTGGTCAACTTTGGTACTTTTTACTCATAAGAACTTATGTACTTCACAAGCAATCGAAGTGCAATGATATGGCTTAAGGATAAATCTCTTAAGGCAAAATCTTGACTACGAATACACTTTATTTTGAGTACATATTTTTCTCTTTGGTTAACAATAAAAGCTATGAAAAGACAACAATGGTGGCAAAAGGAACAGTAAATTCTGCTTTGTTAGATGACAGTGAATGAGCCAAGGAACGAATGGATGTAGCTGAGGTAGTCTTTCTGGTTTTTTGACCTCCTTACAAGCATTTATTTTAACGCTATTTATTCTACACAGCATACACCATATTATATTGCTTACTCTTTTTATGTCTGACATTCTCAAATATATTTAAATTCCTCAAAGAGATTCATATTCTGGTGTCCACAGATGAGTTCAGAGTATCTGAGAGACCCTTAAAGTTTCAAGTAGAGACCTAGAAACACTTTCTAGGAACAGGGTCCACAACTTTGATGTGATTCTCAAAGGTGTCAGTTTAAGACCCACCATCTTGGGCCAGCCCGTGGCTCACCTGGAGAGCATGGTGCTGACAACACCGAGTCAAGGGTTAAGATTCCCTTACTGGTCACCTTTAAAAAACTTTAAAAAAAAGACCCACCATCTTATATGTTTCTATTTAATTTTCCATCTTCTGGGGATATTCCCATTATCTTTGGTCCATCTTTTAGGAAGAAAAATAAAATAAAATTTTTATTACCGATTTCCTCTCCTGCTTCAGTTCCTGAACATAGCGTGCTAAGTCCGCGATGATCTGTGAGGTCATGTTCTCAGAGATAACTTCATGCTGCCCAGCGTAATCGTTCATTTCGTTCAGGGTGGAAAGGAAAGCTTTACATGACGTGTACCTACGGGACAGAGCACACACCACTTTTCAAGCAGGGCCACATCCATTCTAACACTGCTTTATGTCAAGGAAATTTTTTTTTTTCCTTTTTGTCTTTTTTCGTGACCGCCAACGGATCGCAACCCTCAGTGTCGCGCCCGTAATGGACCGGGACCAGCAACGGGATCGCAACCCTCGGTGTTGCGCCCGCACCTCGCTCAGCCAGTGAGCGGGAACCGGTCTGTATGTGGGATCCGAACCCTCGGCGGGAGCACCACCACACTCCCAAGCGGCGCACTGTAGCAGTGCGCCACCGGGCCGGCCCTATGTCAAGGAAATATTAATTAAAATCAGGTTAATTCTCATCGACCTCCCATCGGAGCTGATGATTCATTACACATAGAGTGTCCTCATTAAAATGGTTGGGAATTAATTACAACTGAAGCACTTTTCATTTTGTGAAACTGAACTCCCCTGTGTAATGCAGTATTTGGCTTTGCTAATATTTAGTCCAGACATAATCCAAAATATATACATATGCTACATGTACTAATGTAATGGATATTTAGGTCTGAATTAGAGACAAAACACTTTGGGCTGTCCATGTTAAGACGCCTTAATTGCTGAACGGAATGGACATATTTCTTGGATAAATGAGTAGTGGTATAACAGGGACTCCTAATACTACAAAGTCAAACCAAAACTCTACAGTGCAAAATCCATCCTTCCTGTACTTGCTTGGATTATATTCTAAACTTTTCCTAATTACTTTAATTGAAACAATCTGGAATAGGTCTAGTGACTCAGTATAAGTTGAGCATATTTTTATTGGTCTCCCCCAATTTAAAAACTGACACAAATGTGAACGACGACTGCCCCTCATTGTTATAGATGTACATTTCTCCTTTCCCTGCACAATCGCCAGCAACACAATTATCAATGGTAAACATACTTGTACTCTTCTTCCTCCTTCGAGTTCTTTTTAGGTTGGTATTTCTTCGAAAGATTCCTAAAATGGAAATGCAGACATGTCACCTTATATAGAAAGATAATTGAGAAATCAGGAATGAAAGATGAAATTAGTGCTTTTGTTTACAAGTTAAAAAAAGAAAAAAAAAATTCACAAAATGTCCACAGCTGAAATCCATTTATTTCCTTCACTTTTTCAACATGTGTGATGAAGCTCCTGTTATTAAAGACTCGCACGGCTTTTTAGCTTTTACTTCAAAGGCACATCAAATAAGAACAGAAATGGTTGCTTGCTGGTCACTTAACTGGATGTTAGAACCTGACTTTGTTTAACTGGAGAGTACAGACCACGTGTAAATACACAGTGGCTTTCATTTGCAGCACTGAGGTGAGGGCAGTTTTTCTCATCAGGCCACCGTTCCCTCATGGTTAACCTTAGACAGGCATTATTGCTCCAAATCCAAAGAAAACTGTGTCCAAATGTTTAAACTAAAAATCAAAGTGTCAAGGGCATGAGTCTAAGACTGTGTGGCTGCCCCACCAAAGAGCTGATAAAAAACCACCTGTGAATAACTCTTCTTGAAGGAAATAGAGGCAATATTTGGGGGGTATCCATGCTAAGACATTTAACTAGGAAAACTTTTAACCTGCCTAGCAGGTGTGCACTGAACACACTCGGATTAGCCAAAATCACCCTAGTGTCCCTTCCTAATCCCATCTCCAGGTTAAGAATCCAAATACTTTTGTCGCCATCCAGCACACTTAAATACACACAGAAACTACGAGGTAATCATGAAAAAAGAAAACTCTCTAACACCAATCCTGCTGGCTGATTTCTTGTGGGTCCTGACTTCAGGCTTCTGTGGTTTGAGAAGTGACCACAGGATGCTGACTAACCATCCATGGCGGGACCCCTCACTTGTCATCACCTTGGTATTCACTTCCTTGTTTATTCCTATTGCTGTTCCTCTTTTACAGCAGGTACCTTTACTATTTCACATTTTATGTTTACTTTTTTCATTGCCCCAACATCTACAGATTTGCCTAGGAAAATATGTGATAACAAATTTACGATTTTGATCATGGTACCTTTTACATGCAAAGCGAAATGTGGCTTCATCTCTAATAAATGTACCAGATGATGTGGGAAGCAATGGGCTTTGGTAAAAAGGACACTGCTCTGGGAATCAAGAGCCCTTGTGCCACGAGCAAGTCAGCGCCTCCAGGTCCTCATCCGAAAGTCGGAGGGGGATGGACAACACGACCTCTATTGTCCCTTCTAGTTTTGAAATTCTGAGGGAATATATACCATTCACTGGGATATCAACTGTTGTGATCATTCAAAAAATGAAGATGGGGGGGCCGGCCCGGTGGCGCACTGGATAGTACGCCGCTTGGGAAGCGCGGCGGCGCTCCCGTCCGAGGGTTCGGATCCCACATACAGACCGGCTCCCGCTCACTGGCTGAGCGAGGCGCGGGAGCAACGCCGAGG